TAACTTCAACCAAACCACGAATGCCACCGCCATCTAGAGAGAGGATTCGAAAGCCATTCTCATCAGCTGGTGGAGCACTCACAATTGAAGCGTTGCCACAGAATGGGCACACGATCTCGTCCTGCTGATCTGACATCTTCTTCCGCCTCATTTTGCATCGGTGGCAGAGCATGTGCCGACATAGCCGGTGCGGCAAAATCGACATGTCGATTGTGGTTCTGAGGCAAAGTGGGCAAACGCCACGCACATTCCAGACATCCGTGTCTGGATGACTCCTGCGCACAATGGCACGCTGGTAATCGTTCTGGTTCATGGCCTTGTACCGATTGAACTCACTTTTGAAATAGTCAAGCGTCCACTTGATATCGAGGCCAATGAAACCATCACCGGACCATACACATGGCACCATATCCTTCCACATCCCGAAGGAAAAGAAACGCTTGACAATGCTCTGGCTAGTGACCGCTATCATCGCCGGGTTCCGGTGCTCATGCGTATGACCGTGACGTCGCTGTGTGCATGGATAGAGCACGCCGTCATGCTCCAACACTGCAGCGCAAGGTTCCATGCGAGCGCAAGCATCCAAGAGACGTTTGTGAAGATTGTCCAACCCCTCGTAAATACGTTCTTGGCCGGCTCGGTCGCTGCCAAGTGCTTCCCCTGCTGCAACATAGACGAAGTGATTCATCACCGCATCCAAGGCTTCATGGAAGTCTGCAGGTGTCCGGGGTTGGCGGGGTTGGAGCTGAAGCAGAAAATGGTGCGCGTTGTCGACGGCGTGACAGGAGGCCCTGTTCTGACGCATGACTGTTTCTAAACTGTCCATGGTGCTCCCACCAATACTCTGGCTCAGTTGTTGCACCATTGAATGGAATGCAAACCAGTAGTCGGTCTCCGAATACAAGCATCCCAAGCTGGCCCGGAGCCCGCGGACGCCATCAATGCTCCTGGCAAGTGTCGAGTGGAGCGCTTCTAAGCTATCTTCAAAAGTATGTGCATCACTTTCTGGTGGGATACGCAATACTGACACATGGGAGAATGTAATCAGCAAGCTCTCTACAAGCCAACTATAATTGCTTGAAACATCAAATGTCACATCTTCGTCCGCATGTCTGACCCATTTGTTTTGAACGATAATCAACGCAGGGCGCCACTCGATTGACTCTACGACCTTGTGGGCGTGCTCTGCGAAATTCCTGATACGTTCTTTGCGATCTTCACGGCGAGGCTCTACGGTGTCAATGAACACAATCACATCGCTGAGCAGATAAGCGAAAGGTGGCAGGATGTCCTTCACAATGCGCTGGCGCAGCTTGATGGTGCTGTCCATCTGACTCGAGAGGGCATCTTCTGTCATGAAAGCGTTCAAACGCCGCATCCTCCGAAGACCAATCTCCATCAGATTCCGTGGAATGCGCCCATCCTCTCCCTCGAAGTCCATTACAAGCACAGGGGACTGCCGCGACGAGCCCGGCTGCAAATATCCACGATACACTGACACGTGGGCAGTGGTAGGCACGCATGAGCCCGCCTTTGCGACATTAGGCCACTTGCTGCGCGGAAGATCCCGACTCATGTAGGAGCTAGCGATGAAGCTTTTGCCACCTCCCGTGGGCCCTAGAAGGGTCACGACTGAAACAGGACTGCTGGCAGAGAGTTGAATCTGTCTGTCCAAAGCCCCATCTGGGATACTGATCGCGGCTCTCCCCAGATCTGCCTCTTGGTCAGCAAAGGGGTCGATGTCCACACGCAAAACGTTTGAGTCTTCGGCGCTGGACGTGTCGCAATCGTTCAGAAAGTCTTTGAGCCCATAGAAATGCGAAGACAATGAACCAAGTGGGGCAACCCTTGACTTGTTCTGGGTAATCCAAGTGATTAGTAATCTTACCAGCCGGCGAGGCACATCGTTGACTCTGAGCGCCTCCTCCAGGTCGTCCTCCTGCTGCTCGCTGATGGCACGGATGTGTCCCATCGTCGTAAGGCCGAGCTCGACGAATGGCCCAGTGTAGTCGCCCAAGCCCAGGGCGACAAGTTCTCTAATCAAGTGGGCGTCCAGCCCCGCCATGGCCGCTGCACAAACCTATCGTTGCTGGTTTGGAGCCAGAGTGGCGTGAGCCTGGACGGACGCGTACTGTCACCATCTTGTAACATAGCGTTTCCCGAACGGTATGGCCAGAATCGGCGGCGAGCGAGAGGGGGAAGTGAGAAGGAGAAGGCCTTCTCAGAAGGCGCCGGGGCTTCTCAGAAGCCCTCGCGCCCTCTGAGAGGTGTTCTGCGCCTTCGGGGAAGGCTCAGACAACTTCTCAGAAGGACGGGGGGACTTCCAAGCCTTCTGAGAAGGCCCGCCCCTTCTCACTTCCCCCCCCCTCGCTCGCCGTCGACTCTCTGCAGATGCGCCAGAGACCCATACCAGTAGCGACTTGAACAGTGTGCTGGGTGCTTTTTTCTGAGGCTTCCGCGTCTGGGGGCCTTCGTACCGCCCTGGGGTCCACGGACCGTCAAGTATTCGCCGCGGGGGTCTCCACAACTTCTTGTCACAATGCATGACGTTGGTTGCGTGAACCTGGGAGGGTGTGATATAAAACGCCAGCACAAAACCGGCCAATTTCCGAAGACGTGCAATTCCGAATTCATGGAAACGCGGGCGACTCCCTCGGCCAGAAAGAATTTTCCACGTCCGGGCTCCCGAGGTCAAAATCTCTTTGTAAAAATGGTTGCCCGCGTTCCGGAAGATCCGGCTACGGCTACGGCTTCGCGCGCGTGGCGCCATGAAGGCGCGGCGGAGTAGGCGCCGAGGCGCCTGCTACAGTACACGCGTGTGAAACAATGACACCATGTGGAAAAACTGTAGATTCGCCCTCCCGAGGCCACGATCCATGGTGAAATGCAGCGGGTCCGTGCCCATGAGCCCGCGATCTATTGTAAAACAGAATGGCTCCGCGCTCCCGAGGTCATGATCCAAACGTGTGATATCCCCTCTCCAGTATGATGCCCATCAATACTCCCAACACAGGGGGCACTTTCACATCTCAGCTTGTGACCACCACCAACCATACGTACCCAAATCGAACAACAACAAAAAACGCCTGCCGTGCATTTTCCGCGACGCCTGGGGGGCGCGGGCCCCGGCGGCCTGGAGCCCGTACACTTGCACCCAGATCCCGCAACAGCAAGAAGTCACACGTGGAAGCTCAAAGCAATCACTCTTTGGGGAGAAGCGTCAGGCGGGCGTGCTTCGCGACGCCTGGAGGCGTGGGTCGGGTCGGGCAGAAAGGGAGGGATAGCAAAGCAAATCGGCTCACGCAGCTGATTTCCCCAGCGTCTCACGTCGACGGAGGCGCCAAAGTATCGGGGAGTGCCTGGCGGCCACCGTGCCCTTGAGGCACGAGTTGGAGTGCTAAGACGAAGCCAGGACGAGGATAACGTCGGGTGAGGATAGATCGAGGATCTCTGAGATCCTGCGGCTCTGGAGGATGCCTCGGGCGCCGCGGCCTTCTCATAGCGTTCTGGAACGCTCTGAAACGGATCTATCCTCGTCCTAGCTCCATCCGACGTGTCCTCAGTTTCCTTGCTCGATCCCCATGGAGCCCCAATCCTCATTCCAGAGGACTCTCTAGGGGGGCCAGACCCCAACTCCGCAGCTCTCGCGGGGCTTTGCGCGTGCCGCTTGGGCCCCCGGGTAGCCTCCTCCTCCTCCTCCTTCCCCTCCTCCTCAATGTTTTTTTTCGAAGCCAAGATGAATCGAAGACGGCCCAAGAAGGCCCCAAGATGCCGCCCAGTCGGTCCAAGAGGGCCCAGCATCGCCGAACCAGCGGTCCAAGACGCCGAAGATGGCCCCAAGACGGTGCAGAGAGCTATCGAGACGCCTCAAGGAACCCTCCAAAACCAGAGGGCCCGAGAAGCAAAAATCATCGATTTCTTTTTCATGTTTTTTTGGAGTGTTTAGGGGTTCTCGTCTTTAGAGCTTCCGACGCTCCAAGACGGCCCCAGAGGCTCCCAAGAGCGCCCTAAGATGGCCCCAGAGGCCCCCAAGAGGGCACTAGCACAGCCCAAGAGGGCCCAAGAAATGCCCAAGACGCTCGAAGGCCCGAAGGCGGCATTAAGACCGGCCCAAGAGGGGGAACACGAACCGAAAATCCGAGCCTTCCGCCCCAAGAGTCGCCCCGAGGCCCAAAGAGTATCTTAGAGGCCCCAAAAGGTCCTCACTAGGCGCCCACGATGCCTCAAGAGACCCAAAAGAGGCCCAAAGAGGCGCCAAAACAGCCCCGCAGAAGCGTCGGAACTTCGTCCAGGAGGCCCCCGAGCAGCCTCCCACGAGACCCCAAAGAGTATCCAAGGTGGCGGGGTGGGCCGACGGCCATTAGGTATACGCACACCTGCCGATGATCCATGACCTGTGTTTCATTGGGAGAGGTGTCTCGTTGAAGGCTTTGTGCATGGCGTGTACGGGAATATTCTCGTGCCAGGGCGTGGTCGTCGGGAGTACTATTTCAATAGAGGGGTGGCAATGTGGATTTATTAATATGGGTTGGAGCATGCTGAACTTCACCTCCATTGTACATGTATATTTTATTGTGTCATGTTTCCTTTCCTGAACTTCGGCGGAATCAGGCGTCTCAGGCGGCAACTGTAAGTAGGAGGCACGGTGCTACGAGCCCATCTAAGCCCTCATCTCTGCAGCCTAATCTTACTTCAAATGCTGATCTGATTGATGTTAGAAAACCTTTTCCGTGCCGTGTCGCCAGCGCCATGAACAACGACCCCGTTTCCACGTTTTCACCAACAACGTTCTGCACACAGTGCAGGAGGAAGGGACAAGCTCAGCGCATTGACTTCGTATCGTCTCCGCTCTCTTATGCTTCGTCGCCTCTGCCATAGAGCTCAGGGGACGGCTCCGTGGCACGGGATATCGCAGCACGATTGTTCTCACTCACCTCTCCTCCTCCAGGCCTCCCTTCTGTTTGCACCCACTGGCGCCGACATGCTCAGGCTGTATGCGCTCCAGGGGAAGATGTCGTACCTGTTAGGGTCGGGAGGGGCAGACAGGAGGAGAAGTAGGAGGAGGGATGAGGAGCCAGAGGGGGGAAAGCGGGAGGGACAGGAGGGAGGAGGAAGAGGAGGACGAGGAGGAGAGAGCAGGAGGGAACGCGCAATATTGGAAGAGGGAGGATGCGAACGAGGAGGGGAGTCTGTCTGAAAGTTCGGTCCGGAAGGGAGGGGGTGGAGTAGGGATGATGAGGGGTGCGTAGAGATGGTGAGGGGGGACGAGGAGAAATCCACGATTCACTAAAAATGCTGCGATACACACTCCCGTCTCAGCCCCCCTCCTCATACGTCCCCGATAACACGCATTCCTTCCCATTTTTGAAGCGCCTCCTACACAAACGAGCGCCTCATGGTTCGGCGACAACCCCCTTTTGGAACATGACCCACCCTCCATCCTTCTAGCCCTCAGAAATGCCAAGAGGTTCAGCTCATACAGTTCAAAGACATGTGGAACGACAACCAGCATGTGAAAAGGAGCCGCGCTCCAGCCTTGTAGCTGCACAGAAGTTTCATATTCTCGCCGTGAACTTAATGGAGTCTGAAGCGATGGCCCCGTTATGCAAAAACGCCGCCGTCCAGCTGATCAATTGCATCACTTTGAGCTTCTGCCCGTAGAAATGAAGGAGGTCTCAAGCGAGAGCCTCATGTTGGAAAAGAGCCTCCCTCCGCCCATGTGTGCTCCTTACAGCAGCCAATCTGAACGTGCGAGGTGACGAAACGATAACAACATGTTTAATAGCTTAGCACCCGCCCTGCATCCGTTCAGCCGTGAGAAAAAGACCATGAACGTGCGCGGCGATACGGAACTTTACTACACGTTGCGAACGGCGCCATATCGGTAGCCACATCTAGCAAACCACCCGCACGAGGGGGGCTGAGGGGGATGATAAGAAGAACGCGGAGGATACAGGTGAGGAGGACGGGGAGCGAGGAAGGAGGGGAGAAAACGAGCGGGGAAGAGGAAGGATGAGTGATGAGGTGGAATATGAAGCAAGAGGAGGGGAAGGCGGAGGAGGCTGTTCCACGAAGACTCCGAGGCAGAGCCAAGTGTCGCCGATGTGGAGGGGGAAGGAATAATGAGGAAAAGGGAGGAGAAACCGGAGGAGGGAAGAGGTGCGAGGAGGACAATGAGGCATGCGAGAGAAGGAAGTAGGGTAGGAGGCGTAGTCAGGAAGGAAACTGTGAATAAGAAGGGCCAGGGAGCCACAGGACAGAACGGAGACGTGAGGGGAGGAATGAGCGTGAATGCTCCCACCTCTGCCTGCTGGTGCTGCTGCTGCTACTCTGGCTCCCTCATTGTCCTCACATGCCTCCCTCTTGTTTCTTCTTTCCCTCTCTCTTCCCGTGTCCTACTCCTTCGCCTCCTCCTTTTTGTTCCCCCCTCCCTTCTCGGGTCCTGCTCCTTCGCCTTCTCTTTGTCCCGCTGCTGCTCCTCTCTTTCCCGTTGCTGCTGCTCCTGCCGCTCTCCCAGGGACCTCCCGAATGGAGGAGCGGCGGTTACCACAGAGGACAGCAGCCTTCAAGATAAAGGTCGAGACTGACATCCAGGAGGTCTGGGATTCTACAGTCAACCCGTATCATAAGGACGCACGATAGGGATGCAAGGGCCTTGGAGGCCACTTCGAGGCTTTTCGAGCGGGGCGCGGTCAGCGAAAGTGGCCAAGGATGGGCCGACGGGGAAAGGATGCAAGGGTACCCTTGGGAAGGTTGCCCATCCTTACTATGCGGGTTGATTGTACGCCGCCCTTCATCAAAGCAAAACAGCTCTCGCGCGCGACCCGTTTCCACGCGCCCCTCAGCTTCTGCACTCACGCAGGGGCGGCGCGTGGCTGGCCTTTTCTGTTTGGTCGTCGGCCGCGGCTGTCTCAGCGTCGACATCGGGCTTCGTGAGTTTTTGTCACCGATGCTTTTGATCTGGCGGCGCGACCGCATGAGCGACGAACGCACTCGGGTCTACGCGAGACGACGTAGCCACCTTACGCGGCGGCGTGCGCGGGCCGCCAGCGCGGCACGCCACATTGGCGATGAGGGCGCTTGCGCGCGACCTTGGGAGCGCACGCGCCAACGTCGGCGCAGACAGCTCATTTTTTGTTTGCGTCGCTCACACGCGGACGCGATGACGTCCCCACGTTGAGAAACCGCAGGGAGGGCCAAGGAGAAGGGCGACGAAGAGCCCAACCAGGGCCTGACCACTGGCGGCGGCCTCAGACGGGACTCCTCAGGCCTCGTCCTTGGGCACAGCCTGGACACGTCGACGGCCGCGGACCTTTCCGCTGCACGTGCGCTACCTCTTGCAGGGGGGCAGAAGCGGTGATCCGTCCAACACCGCTCTCCAGGGGCCCATCTGGTCCAGCTTCCCTCCCCGGATACGTTTCCGACAGTCCTCGGCCCGAAGACGGCCCCCATGCAGAGGCCGAAGAATGCAAAACGCCGCCCCGAACCCAGAACCTCGAACCTCGAACCTCGCTCCCCCCCCCCCCCTGGAGGAGGATGAGTTTAGGAGGAGCTCAGGAGGAGGAGGATGAAGAGGAGGAGGAGGAGCAGGAGGAGGAATTTAGGAAGAGGAGGAGGAGGGGGAGGAGGAGGAGGAGGGGGAGGAGGAGGAGGAGGAGAGGAGGAGTTTAGGAGGAGTTTACCCCCCCCCCCCCCCCGCAGCCCCGGGTCGCACACGAGCAGGGACATCGGAGGGGGCACGGCAGCTCCCCCGAGGGGCGGCGGGGCGGAGGGGTCGAGAGGGCACGCGGGTGGCGCGGGTGGGTAGGGGGAACTGGGAGGACGTGAAAGCACCGTCGGCTGGCTCCCACCGTGTCGACGCGGGCGTTGGTGTGGTCCTCTTCCTCCTCCTCCTCCTCCTCCTTCCACTCCCTCCTTCCCCTCCTCCTCCTCCTCCTCTTCCTCCTCCTCCTCCGCCTACTGTACTCCTCCGTCTACTCGCCTACTCCTCCTCCTACCCCCCACTCCTCCGCCCTCCTCCTTCCTCCCGCCTCCTCCCGCCTCCTCCCTCCTTCCTCCTGCCTCCTCCCTCCTCCTCTCAGCGGCATCGCTGCACGGGCGAGTTTTCGACCGAGGGCGTGGGGCCCCGCAGACCTCGGGCCACTCGGGCAGCCGTGGGGTGTGCATACGGCCGGCTGGTCCCCGTCGTGTCGACGCGGACGTTGGTTCCTCCTCTCTCTCCACTTCGCTCCGCTCCTTCCTCGTCCTCGTCCTCGTCCTTCTCCTCTCGGAGGCATCTCCGGACCGTGCCCATTCTAGAGCCCGTGCGTAATGCGGGAAGACGGTGAAGAAAGAAACACGGGAGGGGGGGGGGGTGGACGATCAAAAAAGGGTCTCCTGTCGCCAGGCGGATTCTGGAGAGGCAGACCAGACAATTGAAGCAACGGCGATGCTAACGAGCGGGGCCGGAACCCAATGGCTCGATCATCGGCCAGGGCGCTGCTGCGTGGTGGCCCCGCCTGGGCAACTCTTAAATCGTCATCCCACACCACGGCTGGCTGGCTCCCGTCATGTCGACGCCGGCGCTGGTCTCCGACACCGCGTGGGTCGTTACATCTTGAAGGATTTCCACTCTCTGGCAGCGGAGAAGGAAGAAGAATAAGCAACTGGAGGGGCCCTAGGACACACAAATAAATACACACAAATAACCAGATTCTCCATATATTCCTATATTTTCTGGGTTCTTGTCTCCCCCCCGCTTCCCATATTTTCAAATATTTCCTGGGAGTCGACGATTAATTGGGTCTGTGTGTTTTTTCCCCTCCTGGACAACAACTGCATAAGCAGAGAAACTTTCGACGGACCGCGCGGACTTCTTGGATCTGTGCTGGGCTCCCCTGGCGGCGCCTCTGGCGCCGCTCCTGGCGCGCCACGCGCGCCAGGGGGGGTCCAGCGCGGATCCAAGAAATCTGCGCGGACCGTCTAAAACTTATATCTACACAGTTTTTTTCTTCCTCTGATGGAAAAAAAACAAGAAGAAATGCGAGGACGATGAAGGCGAAGCAGCAGCAGCAGCAGCACCACCAGCAGGCGGCGGTGGGAGCACACACGCTGCGTCTCCTAACGTCTCCGCCCTGTCCTGTTTCCCTGGCCCTCCTCATTCGCAGTTTCCATCCTGACTACCCCTCCTACCCTCTTACCTCCCCTCGCATGCCTCCTTGTCCTCCTCCTCCTCCTCCTACTCCTCCTCCTATTTTTGTTTATGCTCTTCTTCGACAAGATCGCTCAATCAAAACTGGGGCCTCTTCAGGCCGCCGTTGGCCTTCGCCCCAGAGCGCCCGCGCTGGCGTCGCCGCCGCGCCAGCGTCGCGCGGACCTGCCGCACAGCGGCGGCAGCACCGACGAGGACGAAGCCCGGCAGCAGAAACTGCCGACGAGGACGATGCTGTCCCATCCAGGGATTCCGTGGGTGCCACCTGTGCGGCCAAGGAGGGCGACTCAGTTTCCCACGATCCGTTGTGGTGCGGCAGTTCTCTGGAGACGGCATAACTGTTCGGAGTCTGAGCGGCAGGTCATGCAGCCACCTGCCACTTGTCCGAAATCGGAGGCGCCCAGGGGCACGCAAACAGATAGACACCAATCCCAGGCTCCACCATCTTTCCATATACCCTCCTGAGTTTCATCTTCCCCTCCACTTCCCATGTGTTCGACGCTCTGTTCTGGGAGATTGACGCTGATGGGCCACTTTCCATATTTTCTTCCCCTCCACTTTCCATATTTACTGACCTGTTCCCATATGTTTCTACTTTGCCCTCCCTCCACTTCTGCAGTTCTTGCTCTGGGAGATCTGAGTCAATTTTCGCGTCTGTGTTTTGCCCTCCTGAGAAGTGGGCAGCGGCCGCTTTTGTGGGCACACGACGCCCCGTGCACCTGAGCGGCCAGCGACCGCCTCGAAAAACCAATAGCGAATCCGATCCTAGACGACCAGGAACTGCTGTCAGTCATCGTTCCCGATCGTTTCGTCCCAATTGTCGGCCCTCTCAAGTGTAATCGACGCTAATCGACGCAAATCAACTCTAAGTCGACGCTACGTTTCGCCTCAATTTTCGGCCCTCCTATCATGCAGTGAACCCGCATACAGAGTAAGGACGCGCGGTAAGGATGCAAAAGCCTTGGATAGCCATACTAACGTTTTTCGAGCGAGGCTGGCCCGCGAAAGTCGACAATGATGGGCCGACGGGGAAGGGTGCAAGGGTCCCCTTGGGAGGGCTGCCCACCCTTGCCACGCGGGTTGGCTGTGCGTGCCGACCGTGCCTCTGGGCAGCGACCGCAGCGCTCGCCTGGAGACCGTCGACGGGTCCCTGTCCGACATGGGCAGGGGCTGCTCACCGCCATCGTCCCCATGTCGGCCAGGGTCATGTTCGGCTGCTTTCGGCGCCTCCCGAAGCCACATGTAGGGGAGCGAAGCATGACATAAACAGAACTCGGAGGTCCGCGCTGATTTCTCGGATCGGCGCTGGACCCCCTCCCTGGCGCGCGGAGCGCGCCAGGGGCGGCGCTGGAGGCGCCGCAAGGGGGTCCAGCGCGGATCCGAGAAATCCGCGCGGACATCCGAGTTGTTCTGTGTGTGCCATTCTTCGTTCCTCTTACATCTGAGACCATAGTTAGTCCCTCCTCGACCTTCTCCTCCTCGACATCGACTTCCTTCCTCCTCCTCCTCCTCCTCCTCCTTCTCCTCGTCCTCCTCGTCCTCCTCGTCCTCCTCCTCGTCCTCCTCCTACTCCTCCTCCTCTTCCTCGTCCTCGCCCTCCTCCTCGTCCTCGCCCTCCTCCTCTTCCTCCTCCCCCTCTTCGCATCGCTGGCTGGTGGCTTCCAGCCGCTCCTCGGCCTCTTGCAGCAATCTGGACTCCCCTGACAAGAACACCACTCTGGCCGAGGCAGGGCGTGCAAGCCTTGGTCAGCACGGGGGGCGGAGCGCACCCTCACCCCAAGAGGTGGGCGCCCAAGAGGGTGGCTCGCAAGCCATGGCTGGCAGCGTGTGCGCGGTCGACGGGGGGGGGACCAGGGGACGTATGGAACGAAGCAGAGGGGGCCATGAAATCAAGGGATATCATGGCCCTGGCCATGGTATCCCCCTCTGATCTCTAGTCATCACCCCCCTCTCCTCTGGACGCTTGCTGGTCATGCCTTGGGGCCCTCCTTGGGGGTTTCCGACTGCGCCGCGCCCGACTGACAAGAGCGGTCGGCGGAGCGCCCTGGGCGACTCGTGCTCGCGCAGGGCGTCGCCCAGGGGCGTCGCAAAGTCCGCCAGCGGGCCCAGGCCCACGATCGGAGTGGTGTCCGCGACCACGACGTGCACGTACAGCCCCCTCCAGGGAGGATCTGTTTTGTTCCGCCAGACCTGTGCGTTGCTCCAGTGGGGGGCGGTGAGCCGGGGGGCGAAGGAACATGGAACTTCCGTGCACTCTCCTTGCCCCAGGGGGTCTCCCTGTGGCGCCCCGAAGGTGCACGCGAAGTGCACCTTTCTCCCCCTCCCCCCCCTGTTTACCGCCCCCCCAAAACTTTTGTGAAGCCATTCTCTTGCAATGCAGTTAAGGATTTCCAGGCAGATGGTAAGAAATGCAGCAATTGCACGAACACATGGTGTTTCTGGAGAAAAACCGACACGATGCTTATCGAGGTATTTGGGAATTGGATGGGGAATATAACCCAGCGAGACAGGCAATTGAGAACGCAAAGAAATACGCCCAGCACGCAACGCCCGAAGAGCTGCCGCCTCGGCCCTCCCGGCCTCGTGGGTCCCTTCCCGGCGGGCTGGGGGAGACAATTCGAGAACGGCTTGGCGTTGTGGGGACCCGCTGGTGGCCCAGCACTCACGGCCTGCGCGTCCGCAAGCGGGCAGCCCCAACGGAAGCGCAGAACAGCGGGAGCCAAGCTACCACAATATTCGTGCACCATCTGTTCGGGTAGGACGTGCGTCTCAAACATGAGCAAGAGCGTGTTCTGCCGCTGCTGGCAGAAAACAAGGGGGGGGGGGTGTCACTGGGGGGTTTCAGCCCGTCCCCCCCCCCTTTTCGAAGACTGGGCGACCCCCGACCTCCGGGCCTTCGCGAGCCAACCAACGGCGGGGGTCTACCTCGCAGCCTGGGGCTTCCGACGGACCTGCCCGCGGCGGAGGGGCAACTCTGGGGTCGAGAACTCTGGATGCCCACGTCGTCAAGCATCCCAGCGTCGGAGTCCCGGGCCCTGAACAGGGCAGGGTGGCCACTTCGTCGAGGTTTGGGCATCTGGGCGTCTGTTTCGGGACCCACGGCCCACACAAACACCCTGGCGTGGTGCAGCGCAGACGGGACTTCGAGGAGAAGCTGAGACGAGTCACAGCTCGCCACTTGGTTTCCACAACCTTGCGACGCAGAACGGCCGTCTGTCACCGCGAGAATGCTCATGATCACCGTGGTAGCTGCCAGCGTCTTGGAAACCAGCAAAGATAGCCACAGTCACGATCATGATCAACCAAACGTTGATCTGGGTGATGACTGCAAGATCAGTGGTACTAACCGCTGGAGGCATACGCAGCCGAGGCCGCGTCAATCCCCACTTAGACAACGATGCTGCGGCAAGCCCCCGCAAAGAGGGGGAGAGTGGAGGCCCCTTTGATAGTTGAGCCAGGAAGGTGACAGTCTGGCGTCTTCTAATTTCGTGAACTGTGCCTGTCACACGCACTACCTGCCCGCTGCCGTTGGGCCAGTAAGGCGAAAAACAACGCATGAATGTTGGAGCAAGGGATCACAGAGGAACGTGTTTTGTGATAGGGCCGACCGCGCGTTCGGGCGCCAGGAGCTCCGCTGCAACCGCAAACGAGATACTGCCCAAACATGTGCCGCCTCCGCACAGAAAACCCACCGAGTCCGCACGCCACTGCCATCCCAGCAACCGCCCTGCAATCAGGCAGCAGGGGGACGACAGCAGCGACGAAGACCCCTGCGGCGGCGACTCGCGAGTGACGCGTGTCGGCCCTCCCGCCCTTCTCTCCCCGCTGCCTCCACCCTGCGAGACGAGGCAGAGCTCGCGCCCGCACGCTGAGGTCATCACGCGTCGTCGTTCTTGCCTCGTGTGCTCTGGACGCCTGTTTGAGCAAGCCGCACGCCCGTCACGCACGCCGTCCTGCAACCAGGAAGACAACGGAAGCGAGAAGCAAAGGTCGCGGCGGAGGAGGAACAGCACCACACAGACACACATGGTCGTCCATCCCCAGGAAAAAATATGGAAGCATGTGGGAAGTGGGGAAACAACGAAAGTCCAGAAACTATGGAACACTACAGGGAATCCTGGGATTTGTGCGTGTGCGTGTCTAGCTGTGTGTCCCTGGACCCCTTGAGCGGTGACCTCCCGCCTCCCTCCGTCCAGCCTCCCCCCTCCGCCCAAGGCGCGGGGGTGGACAGGCGCGGCACGGCCACGGCACGTCCAGCGCCGGGGCGAGGAGGGGAGACCAAAGGAGACGCACGGCGGAAGCTGGGAGGATCCTAACGCGGGTCGGGGCAGGGGGGGTCGGGTCGACCACCTTCGGTGGCAACTCATGGGAGCCTCCCATGCCATCTTGTCGGCTCTTGCGAGTCGACGCTTGTCGACGCTAAATCGACGCTAAATCGGCGCTATCTCATCCACTCCCAGACGCTACTCGACGCTAAAGACAGAATTCAGAGGGCATACTAGGCTCCCATGATTGCTACCGGAGACCACCTGCGTTTAACCCTAGTCTCGGGGGTCTGGAAAAAGGACCCAGCGCAGAGGGTCGGACCAACCACCTCTGCCATGATCCTCTTTTGGAACCCTGCGGGAAGTGGCGAGAACGACTCTGCCCAAAGGTCCTCGACCTCGCGGGGCGCGCCGCGCGAACCGTCATCATCGATGCGCTCTCGCGCCGCGGATGCGGAATCGGAACCTTGTGTCCGACCCCGAAGAGCCTGTATCCAATGATGCTGACGTCTCGCTTGTGCTTCCTCCGTCCTACGCCGAATGCGAGATGCGCCGAAACCGAGTCTCGGGAACGCCGTACGAGGAGGAGGAGGAGGAGGAGGAGGAGGAGGAGGAGGAGGAGGAGGAGCCAGGACGCAGAGCGCGGACGTCTTCGGGGGCCCCTGCCCGTGAGCCATCGGCCCTCTTTCCCCCATCGTCACCGGCCTGGCCGATCACGATTGCGCCGTGCAGTGCGACTCTCAGCCGCCCAAGGTCATCTCCCATCTCCTCCAACTGCTGCCCCCCTCGTCGACTCATCCTTCTCGGCTCCTCCTCCTTCTCGTCTCTCTCTCTCTCCTCCTCAACGTTGAACCCCTTCTCGTCCATTGCTGATCCTGCTCCTCCTCCTCCTCCTCCTCCTCCTCCTCCTCCTCCTTACCCCTCCTCTTCCTCGTTGTTCGCCTCCGGCCACTCTTCCTTCCCGTTGGCAACGTCATCGTCGTCTTCGTCGTCCTTCTCCTCCCGCTATCCACCTCCTCTCTTCCTCGCTTCCTCTCCGCCCCGTCCTCCTCCTGGCCTCCTGGCCTCCTGGCCTCGTGGCCTCCTCCTCCCCACTCCCTCTTCTGAGGAGAAGGACGACGACGTTGGAGCACGCAGGAGGATGAGGAGGATTATAAGGCCGAGAATGAGGCAGATGCGGATGCGGATGCGGATGCGGATGTGGATGCGGAGGAGGAGGAGGAGGAGGCGGAGGAGGACGAGGGAGGACGCTGAGGAGGAGAGAGGAGCAACAGGGGTGGGGGATGGATGGGGGGTGATGATGGTGGTGAGGAGGAGGGAGGGGCGGAGGGATGAGGAGAGAGGAAAAGGAGGAGGGAGAATGATGACGACAAGGGGTGGAGAGGAGGAGCGGGATAGGGAGGAGATGGCGGGGGAGGAGGAGCTCCTCCTCCTCCTCCTCCTCCTCCTCCTCCTCTCCTCCTCCTCCTCCTCTCCTGTCCTCTCCTCTTCTCTCCTCCCCTCTCCTCTCCTCTCCTCTCCTCTCCTCTCCTCTCCTCTCCTCTCCTCTCCTCTCCTCTCCTCTCTTGTCCATTCATCTCTCCTCTCTAGTCTCGGCTCGAGGGTCTCTGACCCAGTGCGCAGCCGCGACGCGAAGCCCCCAGCGCAGCTGTCGGCTTTCTCCGCGCATGGCGAGTATGGACACACCACATCACATGGCGTGACTGATTCGCGCCATCTCCAGATCCCCGCACGCGCCGCAATGGTTCCTAACAGCCCTCGCCGTGTGCTGCATGTACCACTGCAACCCAAGCCACCAAGCAAGGGCCGGCAAGCCGCCTGTCCAGAAAACCTTCTCGTGTGCCAGGAGGCCTGCACCGCTGCTCTCCGAAACAATGGCGGCGCAGACCGGACTGCTGCAACCTACAACGAACTTACCCCAAACAACACCCAGCCGAACTCGAACCGTCAGCCTCGGCTCAGGAGCTAGCTGATGAAACTGTGAAGGCAATTCTGAAGGGGCCCAGGGACACACAAACAAATACACACACAAATTCCAGGATTCCCAATCTTTTTTTTGTTTGTGAAATTTTCTGGATTTTCGTCTTCCCACCAAATTTTCATATTTTTCAATATTTGTGGGGAATCGACGGTTAATTGTGTCTGTGCTTTCTTCCCTCCCGAAACTCAAGATCAGCTTCACAGAGCTGCAATTTGCCATGCCACATACTACGGGCACCAACAGTGACCCTCCAGGGTGCATGGCCCCGGCCGCTATATCCGTCAGGACAAGGGCACAGCCCCTGTCATCAGCCCCAGTGCACCAAACTGGGACGTCCCGATCGCGCCTGCGCTCAAGAGGGCCGATCACTTGATCTCGCACACCAGTAGCATCCCTCAACACCCCGCCGAATGTCAAGAGCCACCAGGCTACGACGAAGGCTCGGACGAATCATGGTTACCCAGACCAAACTTCCAAATGATCCCCGTTCAGACCGACGCCCGGTTCCGCAATCTCGAAGCGGAGCAGCAGAGGCTCGCGACATAGTCATGTGCATGGGAACCACGGTGACCAGCGTGGCCACCAACCAGGCTACACTGGTCCTCCAATGCCACCAGTTCGAAAAAGGGATCATCTCCGTCCACGCAGAGCAAGCCAGCCTGAGCACAGACACGTGGGCCTTCTTGACAAAGACGCGAGATGACGTCTTGGACGACGAATGGGGCCCCCGCGACGGGGCGGACGCGTGCCCCTGCGACGAACGGGACTCCTGCGACGCATGGGACCCCAGCCTGCAGGGTAGCGTCAGGTCCCAGTCGTATAGCATCGGGAATGAGCCTGGGCCCATCAGGATAAACGCAAGGCCCACCAAGGCCGACGCGCTGCCCGACACCACAAACCTCGTCCCCCCCACCGGTGCCTCCGCCCATCCAGGAAGGCATCGAGGTAACGGTCACGAGCAAGGGAAAGAACCCCATTACCTGCCAGCGCGGCACTTTCATTGGCCGCACGGGGGACAAGTGCGGACACATGGTGGTCCTGCTGACCAATGTGGCAGCACTGCCTCCCTGCCCACGTCCGGTTTGATCCCTCGCTCCCCACAGAAGCCGAACCTCCCCGAGGACGCCAAGCGGGTGAGAGGTGACACTCCATCTCCATCAACGTCAGGGGCCAGGTCAACAGAGACGTCAGCCTCGTCGACTGCGGGGCCCACGGTCGAGCCGCCAGGCCCGCCTGCGCACGTGCGGAAGCCCGTGCCAGCGTCTGAGCTCGCGCCGCCGATGCCAGCCGTTGCGCCAACGGCTGTGGCACCGACGAGGCTCGCGCTCGCCCTGGGGCTTGGCCCACGGCAACGAGAGCGCCTTCGCAAGTTCCGCAAACGCCGCTGCGGACGGCAACCCTCCGTCGGTTCACCTCTCCCCGCTATCCTGGAGGCTGGCGCTGAGGAGGCCCCGCGTGAGTTCATCGGTACGGCCCCTCACGGGCTCCTGACTTGGAGAGCGGCTGAGAAAGATGCCGACGACGCACCGAATAGCGAGGGTGATGCCTGAGCAGGCAGGATCCGCTTCTCCCTCGACCCACCCTCCCTCCCTGCGCAGCTGCGACAGAGGTGTCTGGATCGCTCCTAACATTGGGCGTGCTATGCAACACAGTTCTGATTATCCTTCCGACGTGGGGAGATCGACGGTCTTAGCTTTCCTCGGCTCCTATGTTTCACTAAATCATTGGACCACGCTTCGCCGAGCACCACAACAGTGCACCAAGTCAAAAACGTGGTCATGGCGAGCCTGCGCCCACAAGGTCGCGGCCAGCCCGCCAGGGCTCGCGCCCGCGACTGTGACGAGCGGTGCTGCGAACACCAAGTCTTTGTACACCAAGTACAATACAAATACCAGGTATCTGACACTGCCCACAAGGACGAAGTCGAGCACCAAAAACATCACTTTGACAAGTGAGACGAGTAGTCCAGCGAGCATGAAGTCTCCAAGCAACATGTCAGGGACCAACACCTCAACTCTGTATAGCACGACGGGATCAAGCGCTGCGACGTTGCGCACCAAAACGGGATCCAGTTCCGGCAACCGCATATCAGAGCGAAACGAGCAAAACAACCCACACCGCGTGCTCGAGCAGCATATCCGGGACCATCGCGACACCTTGCACAACGACGACGTCGAGCAGCACGACGAGCTCCAGCCACAGCAGACTCACACTCACGAGTGAGACGGACAGTGCAGCTATCAGCAGCACGGCTGTGACCAGCACCTGGACACCAGACAACGCGACGGAGTTGAGCACCACGGCGCTAGACAGCACGACGGGATACAGCACCAGCAGCCTCACTACGAGGGAGACAAGCAGTGCGACGAGCACCAAGTCCTCGACCAGCGTGTCAAGGGCCTCCTCGGCTTTGAGCAAGACGACGGCATCAAGCCTACCGACGTTGTGCACCAAGACGAGGCCCAGCACGAGCAACCTCACATCTACGGGTGAGACGAGCAGTGATACGAACATCACGGCTTGGAGCACTACGCCAGGGGCCATCGTGACACCGTATAGCACGACGTAATCACGCAACACGACGTCGAGTACGACGGGACACAGCTCCAGCAGTTTCACTCCTACGAGCGAGAGTGAGACGAGCGGTGCATCGAACACAACGTCTTTCAGCCGCACGCCTGCGACCAGCACCTCGACTCCGAGCAACGCGACGGGGTCGAATGCCTCGATGTTGAGCAGCATGACGGGACCCTGCATCAACGCGTCTTTCGACGGCACGTCGATCACCAGCGCCTCGGCTCTGAGCGGCGCGAGGGAATGGAGCACCGCAGTGCCGAGCAGTGCGACCGGAGCCAGCACCAACACCCTCATTCTCACGAGTGTGGCGAAGAGCGCAATGAGGTCCATGGCCAGCCCGCCAGGGCTCGCGCACATGGGCACCAGTAGCCTCACACTCACGGTTGCGATGCACAGTGCTTCGAGCAGCACGTCCACCAGCAACACCTGCGCGACCAGCACTGGGACACCCGTACAGCACGACGGAGTCGAGGACCGCCACGACGTGCAGTGCTACGGGATGCAGCATCGTCAGCCTCACACCGTCAGCGCATGGAGCAGCGGCCGCCTGGAAGGGCGCCTGGACGAGCGCCTGCTCCCGACGGCGGGACGAGCCTGCAGCCCCTGTCTTGACCTGCCCGCGTCCGAGAAGGTACAAGGCTATGAGGCCCCTGGAAGTGGGTGGCCACCAGGGTCCCGCCCCAGGCGCCAAGCCGTCTACCAGCAGCACGATGGAAGCGAGCATCATAGCGTTGAGCTCCACGACGGGATCCATCAGCAACTGCCTTACATCCACCAGAGACACGAACAATGCTATCCGCCACGACGTGAGTCCATCCGCTACGACGAAGTGGAAGAGCATGACCCACAGCACCGTGACCACGAGATGCAAGACGGAGCCGGTTCCTCCTCGGCAGATCTGCGTCTCGTCCAGGCGGCCGTTGAGAGGCTGCCAGCCGCCCAGCGCCTCCAGAGGAACGCCTGCCAAGGCGAGAGGAGCCTCTGGGGCACCGCGACCCCCTTGCTCGAACCCCACACCACAAGCGACGTCCTCGACCTTGCGGTCCCGCGCCGTGCGGAGGACAGTTGAGCTCCTCGCGGCGGCCCCCTAAGGCTCGACGGAGGAGTGGAGGTGGGGCCGGCGCGGCAATGCGACCTCCCTCGATGCACGGGCAGCATCGCGGCGTTTATCGCGACGGACTCGCGCACCAAATTCCGCACCACGGTCGGGTCGCCGGGCAGTGCGACGGGACAGCGCGCTGGGCACTGAAAGTGCGACCAGACGGCACGGGGCGCCTCTGGAGGCGGGGGGCTGCCAGGACCCCGCCCCAGGTGCAAGGCCGCCTGCCTCGCATATTCCATTGGGGCTCGACCACACGGAACGTAGCTCAGCCCCTGCTGCCCCGCCCACGACCCCCCGCGTGCGAGAAGCCACAAGGCGATGATGCTTCCGGAGGCGGGTGGCCACCGGGCCCCCCGCCCCGGTCGCCAGGCCGCCACCAGAAAGCTGCGGCAACGCCAGCGCGAGCACGCTGAGAGCACGACGAAGGCGAGCGCGGGACGGCTCGGCACGTCGAGCGGTGCGCGTGGACTGCACGACGCGCGTCACGACTGCGGGCGTGCGGCGGGGCGGCACGCGATGCCCCTGGACGCGGGGAGCCACCAGGAACCCGCCCCAGGCGTACCAGGCCGATGACCTTGCAAGCTACACAGGGGCACAACCACTCGGAGCGTAGCTCATCCCCCCACCGTCCCTCCCTGGCCCTCCGCGCCGCCTTGAAGGCGCAAGGCGATGATGCCCCTGGAGGCGGGCGACCACCAGGTCCCCGCCTTAGGAGCCTACGACCGTAGTGAGGACACGCGCGGGGTTGGCGACGAGTCGCGGATCAGGCCAGTGGGCCAGTACCAGCGCCCAAACCCGATGGGCTGGACAGTGCAGCCGCGCACCCAGGACTTCAAAGCAACGCACTTCGCCAGGCCGATCGTGTGAGGCTAACACCACAGCAGCCCGCCCACCCGCCACCAGGCAAGCAAGGATGAGGCAGCCAGAGACGTGTGCAGCTCACACCAGCGCGGCCCAGCCAGCCGTCACCAGGCGGGGTTGGCACGGCCAGCACTGCCAACCCAAGTGTAGGTGACGAGATCAGGGCGAAGGCACCATTGCCTCATCGCCTCGGCATCATCTACCAGGGTGACGTGTCTGACTGACGCCAGTACAGGCCACCGGGCGGAGTTGCGCCACGCAGCGCCGCACGGCCGCCGGTCATTGGCTTGACCCCGGCCGAGGGACTGCCTGCACTGCCAGCACCACGACGCTGCATCAGAGTGCGACTAGACTTGGTCATAAGCTGCGTGGCACCCAGGAGCAGTCAGAGTCTTGACAGACCCAAGAAGCACAGAGCGCCTGGATCGGCCTTCATCAGGCCCGATCGCCGCCTCGGGGCCTCTCACCAAGCGAGCACCAGGCGCGTTTCGGCCACGCTGCGTGAATAGCTGGCAACTTTCCATAGCCCTCGCACTGGGCCGCCGCGGGGGATGCCCCAAGGTGGCGCCTCTACTGCTGCGGGCGCCAAATCACGCACGCCAGAGCGCGTGTAAAGCCAGTGCCTATGTCCGCGGGCATGGAGAGGGGGCGAGTCTCGCCCTTTTCACCACATCCCGTGTTCTGCTTTCCAGTCGTGGTCCCCTCAGATCGCGCCAGGGGGTATCGTCGTCGTTCTCGAGTTCCTCTCCTCGCTCCTCGCTCCTCGCTCCTCGCTCCTCGCTCCTCCTCCTCCTCCTCCTCCTCCTCCTCCTCCTAATCCACCTCCTCGCTCCCAGCGTCGGGTAGTGAGGGTAGCATCCCCCCCGCCACAGAAGGCGGGCGCGGTGGGAGCCTGCTCCAGAACGCCTGGACGGCCACTCCGCCCGAACTGTTGCGATCTCTCTTCTACTCTCCTCTTCTCTCCTTGTCTCCTTGCCTCCCTCCCCTCTCATTTCCTCTCCTCTCCTCTCCTCTCCTGTCATGTCCTTTCCTCTCCTCCCCTCCCCTCCCCTCTCCCTCCACTCCCCTCCCCTCCCCCTCCACTCCCCTCCCCTCTCCTCTCGTCTCTCTCCCCCTCCTTCCCTCTCCCCGAGGCGGTCCTCTCTTGGGTGAAGGACAGGCGCACGGAGTCGGACCACGTCGGATCCATGGTGGCGGCGTTGGCGCCTTGGCTGCCGCCGCCGGCCAGCCAAGGTTGGAGGGCCAGGAGACCGCAACCTGGGATGAAGGGGCCGGGAGGAGGATCGATGCAGGGTCCACGTTTTCGGATACTTTGGGTTCTGGCTCTCGAGAGGCCTCTGGAGGCCTCCGCGGGGACCTGCATGGGCATCTGGCAACCTCCCTGGGGAGTCAGAGGAGGAGTAGGAGGAGGGATGAGCAAGGGGAGTGGAAGGACGAGGGACGAGAAGAGAGGCGGCCGGACGGATGATGAGGAAGAGGAGGATGACGAGGAGGGGGGGAGGAAGGAGGATGCTGATTGATTCGACCTACAGACTGTAGTCTGGACTCGCGCTTGAAGGAGCGCGCCCCCGTCCCAATCGGCGAGCTGGCCCCGCGCAGACTTGGACACAACGCACTTAGGCCTGGGCGAAGACTGCAGCGAGTCGGCTGCGCGCAAGAATGACCCCCCCCAGGCAAGAGTGACCTTCGGTGCGCGGCTTCACCAAGGACGCGCGGTGGCCAGACCTGGGCGCGCAAGCCGCTGCTGCCGCTCCGCGTTCGGCGATCGGGGGACCCCTTCAGGCCCGCGCCAAAGTCCACTCCGGCGAGAGGCCACCGGTCGAAGCCAATCAGCACCGAGACGCCGATGACGACCCGCGATCGCTGGCGCAGCGCGCGCGCAGGCTCTTGCGGCGCGCGCGCGCGTGCGGCGCGCGCGCGCAGGCGCCGCCGAAGGCCCCCGAGGCAGGCACTCTCGGTGTGCGCGCTCGCGACGGAGGGCCCCTCCAGGGAGGCCAGGTCCCGCCTCTCGGGGGCGCGCGCCCGCCGCCCGGCGCCCGGGGCCCGCCCCATCGCCGCTCGGCGCTCGTCGTCGCTGCCGTCGCCGTCGCCTCGCCGCCGCATCGTCGTCGTCGTCGTCGTCGTCGTCGTCGTCGTCGTCGTCGTCGTCGTCGTCGTCGTCGTCTTTTCGCCGTCGTTGTCGTCTCGCCGCCGCGTCCTCGTCATCGTCTCGCCGTCGCTTCGCGATCGTCCCGTCGTCATCGTCGTCGTCATCGTGCTCTTCCCCGCAGAAGCATCCTGCTAAGATGCTGCGGTTTGCTGGAATATGAGCCCGATTGGGTTGTCGAGTCAGGCTGCCAAGCAGCACGAAGGTCTGCCAGCCCCGACGGAGATTGCGTTTCATGCGAATAGGAGGCCTCTGACTGGTGAGTCGACCGACCACGATTCGAGTACAGTCAACGTGGCGGATGCGCGGCAAGGATGCAAGCGACCCCTGGACGCCAGGGTTGAAGAGTTCCAATTTCCAAGCTAATGCTTGCCGCGTTCGAAAATGGCTTCACAGCTGGGAAGCTCCCTTTGGAGGAGGCGCCGCAGAGGCGGGGGCGCCCGCGAGCGAGCGGCCACGAGGATGAGGATGAGGTGTAGGAGGAGAGCAGGATTGGGTGTGAGGAGGATCAGGAAACCACGATGAGCACCCAGAATCCGAGAAAGGGATCTGACCAAGGATGAGGGAGGGGAATGAGGATGCGGGGGGGCATGAACAGGAGGAGCAGAAGATGACGTTGGCACCTGTCTCCTCCTCCTTGGTCTCCTCCTCCTCCTCCTCCTCCTCCTCTCCCCACCTCCGCCTTTCCCTTCTCTTCCTTCTCCTCCTCCTCCTCCTTCTCCCCCGCCTCCGCTTCCTCCTTCTTTTCTTGGAGTTCATAAGTGGTGGATGGGATGCGGAGAGAGTGTGTGGAACGCGATCCTTGTAAAGAGGAACGGCCAATGCAGGCGCGGTGCCACGATCGACCTGCTCCAATCGAGGGGCCGACAGCGACGGTTTCGAGGGCATGAGCGGTGAGGACGATTTTGGCGGCCGACGCCGACCGTTGACCCCAAACATCCTCCGCAAACCCCGCGAGTGCTCAGCCTCCCCTGGAGGACGTCACAGAGGTCGTGGCGGAGGGACATGGGGCAACGGCAACAGCGCGGCAGCGGCCCAGGACCCCGTGCCCCTAGGCGGCGCCGCAGAGCCAGCTCGAGAAGCTGAGCCGAGCGGCCGAGACCGTGACGACGATGGGCCCCGCGGAGCCCCTACGACGACCGGATTGGGCTTGGCGGAACGCCGAGCGCAGGCGGTCGCCAACGTCCTGCGCCTTCGCAGCAACCTGGCGGCAGCAGAGGTGACGGAGACGTTGGCGGCCGTGGCCTTGGCCGAGGCGGCAGGGGCCAAGCGACGCGCGACAGCAGCGCTCGCTCAGCCAGAGTGCACCCCACCCCAAGTTGTCTCGACCAAGGCCCCAATGCGACGAAGATGACCAGCCTGCAGTGGCCCACGGAGAAGAGGGTACGTGGGCTCGCGAATTAAATATCTGTGGAGACGCTGACACAAGCACAGCGCTCCCCAATCCTGCCAAGCATGGTATTTCGCAAGTTGTGCTGCGTACCACCCAGCGTGGTGGCAGCTGCTCCTCCCAGCAATTGCCCCCGCGGGAGGAGGAGCAGGCTTCGACTCCCTCCCCCCTCCCCAATTGGAGGCAGCCCCCAGAAGAGTCAAGGACTACGTAAGATCGAGATCTTGAACTGCACGACTTCGCCTTCTGGTGACCCCAGCCCCGAGCCGTCGCTTGCCATCCCTGGTGATATGTGGGAAGGTTGCAAACGCGAGGTGGTGTTCACTTCAGGACTCCAGTCTGTACAGTCCAGCTCCCTTCAGCTTCCTGCTGCTGCTGCTGCTGCTGCTGCTCTCGCCCGCTCTCGCTCCGAAGGACCGCAACAGACTGTTAAAATGCCACTGCTCGACCACACAGGCCGTGGTGAAAGAGTTGTGGAAGTCTCCGTGCCCTGGGCTGGTTAATGTCGATGGTGTGATTGCGTCTCTGGCTGCTGGGTCCCGAATCCATGTAGCCGGATGCTGGCTTCACCCCTCCCACCTCCTCAATGTGCACGGCAATCGTGATATCTCATTCTGTGGACGATGTGGGGTGGTTGCCGACAAGCAGCTGGGTGCACTAGGGAAGCCGTGCACCCGTGTCCTGACCTCCCCGGGTAAAGACCACCTTGGTCGAATTCGACCAGGTTTATGCCACAACGTCCTTCGCCGAGCCGAGAAGGCCCAGCGAGGCCAAGAGGTGTAACATCGAGTTATAGTTGACTTCGTCACCGGTTCCCATCCTTATTCCTTATGTGTATACAAACTTACTCTGCCACAAAACCGACCGATAGCCAGCCACTGCAGGACCTCCCATCCTATCTATACTACGAACAACGCAACGTCGACACTTTCGCTTTCAACAAGGGCATTCCGTCGCCCACGATGCAACGTGCGTGGCAGGAGTAAGACGGTGCGCGCATCCCGCGCGAGAGGCCGACATGTCGCTCTCGCCTTAAGCATTGAGCTCCCGGTTTGACTCGGCACATTTGTCTCACGCATCTTCGTCGACTCGCGAGCGGGCGAAAAGGTCGCTTTCGCCGCGGCGCCGAGCGGGCGAGAAGGTCGCTTTCGCCGCGGCGCCACGCAGGTTTCGCTGGAGAGGTGGCGGTGCCGCCTCGGCGCGACACACATGCTCACTCGCCAATGTTTGGGGAAGGCCCGCGCGAGTGGGCGCCTCGTCGCCCTCGCGCAAGCTCGGTGCACAGTTCGCTGGGAAGCGGCGTTCCCACGCGGGCGCGGCGCGTGGTGCGTTCGCCTGATCGCACGAAGGCGACAGCGGCAGCAGGACCGCGCGAGAGCGGGCGAAATGCGGACCTCGCCCAAGCTCAGCGCAGCTTGTGCGTGAAGAGTGGCAATGCCGTGCCAGCGCGGCGCATGCTTCGTCCTCGCCGCGCCCATTCGCCGCGCCCATCGGACATGTTGCCGCTCCCGCCCATGCGCGGCCAGCATATCTTTTTTTGCTCGTCGCCAGCCGTCGGGAACGGAGCCGGGCGCGAGCGCCCTCCGATTGCCAGGTTGGAGCGCGTTCCGATCCCAATATCAAGTTGCGCCACAATTTGTGCTTGTGCTATGGGTGGGGGTGTGGGAACATGCGGGGCCCTCTGACGAGCTCGACCTGGCTAACTTGACTCCTGCTCCTACTCCTAGTCCTTCTCCCTCCCCCCCCCCTCGTTCATTTTCCCAGCCTATGCCACACCTGCCCCTGTGTCGTGCTCACGCCTACATGCGCACGTGTGCCTTCCTGGCTGACTTGGTGCCGGTAGCCGAACATCATTCACAGTCCTGGAACTTTGTGCTTAGCTGCAGCGCCGCCAGTCGCTGACAGGCGTTCTGATTCATCAGTGTCGCAATCCCAAATCCCCCTCTTCGTCGTGGCCCTCATCCTCCTCCTCCTCCTCCTTCTCCGCCTCCTCCTGGCTCGCCGCCCCCAGAAGCGGCTCCCGCCTGTCGGCCTGCGCGCCCTGGTGGGGGTTGCCGCGCACCACGCGCACCTTTGGGGGAGGGGGGACGGGCTCGGGCGGTCCCCGTCAGCTTCGTGCGTATGCCGCCGCGCTTGCAGCGTTGTACATATATATAATTATTTATGTATATCTACACACATATCTGTATACGTGTTTATC